TCATCTCATGGCTGAAGAGAGATACATGGTGTGTTCCACAAGCAGAGCAGAAAACTTGGTCTACATGACTCTCAAAGCGTCATACTGATTACGAAGCATATCTGGAACTCATGAATCGATGTAACGTAAGTGTAAGGTGCGACAGGGAGTCATAGACCAGTAGAAATACTCCCAGTGGTATCAAAAGCAGTCGTAAACCTGACCGATCACATCGGGCAACACCTCGACAGGAACGACATACTCCGTGAAGCACAACATGGTTTCGAGGGGCGTGGATCCCGTGTGGCAAACCTACCATCAGCTTGGAATGATTGAACATCATGGTGGGATATGAATGTTCCAGTCCATGTGATCCTCCTAGACTTTGCGAAGGCATCTGACATAGGTCACCATGATCTCCTATCCAAAACAAATCAGGCAGGTATAAGTGAGCCACCCTTGTCATGGTTGGAGGACTACATAGAAGAAATCTCTGCACTAAGATTAGTCGTGTCCGATCATCCTGACAAAGCTCGTCACCTTGTCTTACTCTTCTAACTACTCCATCTGTCAAGTCCCCTAAATTGTTACAATTACTCCTGATTTATATACTGATAGGTATCAAATTTCATTGGATATCTGCTTTTGCGTTTTCCTCTTTTTAATTCTATATAGTCTAAACTAATTATGTCTATTATTATTGTTATCTCTCTTTTAGACCACACCGCATGGTTAACGGGTCAAAGGATCAACTTCATGCGCAGTAGCGACACGGTCTGAACACACCGCGTACTACACATGACATGTAATTAACCCAACTCAACCAAAGCTGCGACAGTCGAGTGGTGGGATGAGCTACGCGGAAATAAACCGAAGACCAGGAACCTTCACCCTACAGCCAAGAAGCGAGCAACATTTCACAAAGGTCTCCAGCCCTCCACGATCTGCTACCTAGTGAAACCCAGAGGTTTACGGAATATGTCAATACAGTCACTGAAAAACGAGCACAATCTACTATTTCCCGACTCACCAAAAGCCTCAAATCCATCAAAGCACATAAAGAATTTCCTGAAGACCCTTCGAAATTCGTATTCAACTACTCTTCAGTTGCTTTATCCAACCTACAGTTAGAAGCCCTATCCATGGGTCCAAAATTCTGCGACATCAACTTAAACGCCAACAGACTCCATACGCAAGTACAATTCGAAAACCTAATGACCCAAACAAATGATTTAACCCCAACCTCCGAACAAGAATTGCAGCGTTTCAAATCAACAATAATCGATAGCTGTTATCAGTATCTTAATACAAAGCCAAAAGTATACAACCACCTGACAAAGCAACATAGAGAAGAATTAAATCAACTAAAACAAAATGAAGAACTCCTTATAACTCGTCCAGACAAAGGAACTGGTATTGTCCTTATGGACAAGAAAGACTATATTGAGAAAATGAACAACATCTTGTCAGATAAAACAAAATTTTCGCAACCACCCAACGAAAGAAACAAAACAGAACAGATTGAAAAGCAACTCACCGATGTCTTGAAAAGAATGCAAACCCAAAAGTTAATCACTCATGAAGTGTATGATCAGATCCGACCGACAGGGTCAACAATACCAAGACTATATGGCTTACCGAAGATACATAAAGCCAACCTCCCACTTCGTCCAATTCTGGATATGTCAGGTTCCCCGTACCATTCAATAGCGAAATGGCTCACTGACATTTTAGAACCTGTACGAAAACGAATGTGCCACTATTCACTTCGTGACACTTTCCAATTCGTCGATTACATTAAAGATATCAATACAAAGAACAAAACTATGCTCTCCCTCGACGTTGAATCACTATTTACCAACGTTCCACTCACAGAAACCGTCTCTTATATTTGTCACTATATCGACGAAAATCAGCTGAACATCGGATTACCGACGACCTGTTTAAAAGAACTACTACTGAGATGTACACTCAATGTGCTATTCACATTCAACGACATTATTTACAGACAACAAGATGGGATCGCAATGGGATCTCCACTGGGTCCATTACTAGCAGACTGCTTCATGGCAAGCCTCGAGAACGGCCCACTCAAATCAACCATCGACAATCTCCAATTGTACGTTAGATATGTTGACGACATCTTTATCATCTGTGATGACGATCACAATCTCAATCAACTACTACAAATATTCAACAAATGCCACCCAGCCACAAAGTTCACTTTGGAAAATGAAAACGAATCTAAAATCCCTTTTCTTGACGTTGAGCTTACAAGGAGAGATAACGGAACTTTAAGAAGGTCAATCCATAGGAAACCGACTTGGAACGGACAATTAACAAGCTTCTACAGCTGGGTACCAATCAGTCGGAAAAGAAACCTAATTAAATCCCTTGCCACTCGCGTCAGACGCATCTGCAGCTCCGACACCATGGAAGAAGAATTAAACTTCCTGAGGGAAATCTTCATGCAAAATGGCTACCCACCAAGATTTGTAGACAAAAACATCAAACAGAAAAACCAAAAGCAAGAGACACCATCCGTGCCAAAAGAGATACTTTGTATGAACCTAGACTTCAAAGGAGACCTACTTAGCGATGTCCTCAGAAGGAGAATTTCCACCTCTTTAGGAAGAACTTTCCCTGCGGCAACACTAAGAATAGTGTTCTCCAGTCGCCCGCTGATCTGCAGAAACCCAAAGGACAAGATTCCGCACATGACCACTTCTATGTGTATATATCAGTTCACCTGTTGCTGTGGAGCCAGGTACATCGGTCGTTCAACGCGCATCCTGTCAAAAAGGGTCAAAGAACACTACCCAGCGTGGCTGCAGAAAGGAAATAATGGCCATATAAGGAGTGCAATAATCGAACATCTAGTCAACACTGGTCATTCCATCTCAACGAACGCCTCCTTCAAAGTGATCTACAAAGTGAAGAACAACCTCCCAAAGACAGTACGATTTCGTCTTCTTTGCATCGCAGAAGCCCTAGCCATCCAGTTGGTGGAACCAGAACTATGTATACAAAAGAAAATTATCCAACCACTTCTACTCGCATGGTAACAACTCCGTTGATTTGACCCGACTCTTCTTTGTTTGTTTGATTTGACCTTACTTCTGTTTGTATGCTCATTTTTCTAACTTAAAACCCTTGTGTAATTCTGTATATTATTTTGTTTCCATGCTCACCCTTTGAGTACAACTCATTCATCAAACTATTCATGCCATTACGTAACTCTTATTTAACAATCATTTATGACAACTCATCACTTTTGTTGCTATCCTCTTATCAACATCCAATTCATTTGAACTTGCTAACCGTATTTTGTTTGACAAATTTAATGTATAAACACACACACAATAAGGTACCAGTCCATGTGATCTTTCTCGACTTTGCGAAAGCATTCGACACAGTTCACCATGGTCTGCTCCTTCACAAAATAAGCAAAGCGGGTGTATCTGGAGCACTTCTCGCATGGCTGGAAGATTATTTAGGCGAGAGAGAATTCTGCACCAAAGTCGACCGCATCCGATCATCCTGGCACACCTCGGCATCAGGGGTTCCTCAGGGTTCTATCTTTGGGCCGTTGATGTTTTTGATTTTTATCAATGACCTGCCCTGTCAACTGAATTGCTCTGCGCTTCTTTACGCTGACGACGTAAAGATTTGGAGAGCAATAAACTCATCGGAAGACTCCGACAGATTGCAGGCTGACCTGCAAACGCTGGGGGACTGGGCTCTGGCTAACGGAATGCCTTTCAACTTGAAGAAGTGCAAAGTAGTGCAACTTCATTCCGGCAGGTCACAGAGTGCAAATTACACCCTTGGTGGCCAGAACTTGAGTTGTGTGCCATCAGAACGCGATCTAGGCCTTATTTTAACAGAAAAGCTAGACACCAGTGTAAATTACACGAGGGACGTCGCCAAAGCTTACGCCACTTTACACTTTATGCATAGGCAGCTGGGAGCTCTTACTCCTGAACTATTCCTAACGTTGTATACGACATACGTGGGGCCACTCCTTGAGGTGCATAATATCATTGCTCCTCCGCTACTCAAAAGGGATGCTAACATGCTAGAAAGTGTCCAGAGACGAGCGACAAAATGGGTGATCGGCCTCCGCAACAAATCATATGAGGAGAGACTGAAGAAATTAAGTCTTTCCACACTTAGTTACCGTAGTCACAGGGGAGACCTCATCACCGCCTATAAGATCTTAAATGACCAGGCCCATCCTAATAAGAGCATCCTGCCATTAAGTGATTATAGGCTTCCACGAGGTAACCCGCCAAGGATAGCACACCAGAGACCAAGGACTCGAGTGCGTTCACACTTCCTCTCGCTTCGAGTTTGCCGTCTCTGGAACGCTTTACCGGCGGCCGTAACTACAGCGCCACCTGTGGAGACTTTTAAGCGGAAGCTGGACAATCATGCAGAAATGCATGGTTTGTGTCTCAATGGCTTACCCTCTTAAAATTTGAAACTACATTGTCAATGGATAAGCATACAAGCTAAATCCCCACGACCCGTCCTGTCTTCTCCCACTGTACCGACTACTCTATCTTTTCTTTCTTTATTATTTCACCTTTATTATTTCACTTATCTCAACCTATATTATCTACACTACAACCTATTATTATTATTACTCTACTTTTATGACTATACCGAGTGACCAACGGGTGTTAGGTCAAACTCCATCCACGGCAGCAGCTGAGTCCTAACATACTGCACACTACAAACCACAATCTTGACCAATCCTCGCCCCATTCCTCTTGGAGCCTACCAGAGCTAAAGCAGTCGAGTGGCGGGATTTACTACGCATAAGTTCACCGAAGATCTGGAACCTCTACCTTACAATCAAGAAGCGAGCTCAAAGAAATCACTGGTTTATACTAGCTCGTAATCAGGATATTGGATATATTTGCGATTGTACAGCTTTGAAAATGAATTCGCCGAAAAGAGACTCTTTGCTGAACTACTTGTCTTTTGTCTTCTAATGTCCGAATAGGAATTATTCATAAATTTAATTTACACTAGCTCATAAACCAAATTGGATTTTGAATCCAATTATGCAATCAAAGGCGTCATTTACAATCTTATTCTCTACGTATGGCCTTTCTAAAGTTGTCGACACACAGTGCTTCTAGGATTCATAGTTTCTGTCGAATTTCGGCTGCTTTATTTCCTAGTTCTAAAAGATTCATCTGTGTAACCAAATCAACACATGCAGATTTGAACCCAATGAAACACATACTGAAAGAAAATAATATACCTGAAGCTGATAAGAGACAGATAGAGAGGGAGGTCGAAGAAATGACAAAGGTAGGTTAAATTGTTTCATGTCTTCGAATTTTTAGGATTGGGTTACGGCTGGTTATCATACGACAGACAAGGAAGAAGACAACTATCAACGTCAACTTGTACCATTCATATTTTTCACACTTCTTCTATGTCCTATAGCATTACTTATGTATTATGCGCCAGACCGAGAGTAAGTGTTCCAAAACACTTTTGATGGTTCTATGTCTCAGTCTCTTTAATGATTCACGTGATATATGGTGTGGATGTGTCTTAGCGAATATCCAGTAAAGTCGGCACCAAAATTTTCATTTATCCGTCTAAAAATGTTATACATGTACTTGCATGATCGGCTCCTCCGGCGAAAACAATTTGGTTAGACATTTCCACCAAATCGAATACAGGTCGGTTTTGTGCGGATGCAGAAGTTTGACACACCGAGATTTGCCATGTATGACTAATTGATTCGAGGCTTATATGCCTAAAATTCTAATTTAGATAAGAGCGACACCTTATTTGGTTGAATGCCGGTGATAATTTCTAATATTAAGTGAAGGCAGACAAGTAACTTCAAGCCTATTACGATTTGCTATCTTGTGTCGTAAATATATGCAACTTGTCCTAAACCCTAATTACACTTGCACTAATAAAGATTCAAGTTCTTATATTAATTTAACCTATCACAAAAAAGGCACAACTTTCAAGTTCCCCTTTTTGGAAAAAGGGTTTCAGAAGTGAAATTTTCTTAATATATGTATATATATCAGTTTATTTGTTCCAACAGTTTTTATGGTAAAGGTCCCAATAGTGTAAAAAATCTGGTCAAAAGTATCACTTCAGCATTATAAGTACATTATTGCAAGCTTGGATAAGATAGCTTGCTCGTTTACTGAAGATGCAATGATCGGAGGTAATCTTATTTTGATTTTCTCTGTAATCACATTACTAGTCACTCACGTAGTCTTCTGAACTGCAAATGCAATGAAACTATGTTTACTGGTAGTGTTACTGTGCGGCAACAGCAGTTAACATTACCTATTGATACATTTCAGAAAACGAAGAGTTCTGCAAAGACATCTTCTGAACAATTTAAGTATTATAAATTGCATTACCCGAATTTTCTTTTACATTTTTCTCCTGTAAGATAGCATACTAACTAGTATTATTTAGTGAAAGTTGTTGAAAAATGCTTTTCTTAAACGATAAGTGTGATAGAAGGCATAGTTTGATCACAAAGTACATATTATCGAAAACAAATATCCTGGATTAGAACAAATCTTTATAATATGTAAAGTAATTTTCAAAAGTGTGGTTTAATCAAGGAGCATATGGAAATGTAGTCAGAATATGGTTTAGCTGCTAAAAACGAAAACATAAAGTAAATGCGAAAATTAAGACAAGACTATGGTGAACTTAGAAGTTGAACGACTCATTTGGGATATTAAGACATTTGTTGTGTAGTTCTGATAGGACCACGTCATCCTCCTGGCAATATGACTAGGTAGTGTTCTTGAACTGCTTCTAAACAAATAGAACATTCTACTTACTTATTTCTGTATATGCGGTTGGATTGAGACAGGCACGTTATTGTTCGTATTCGGCAGTTTATCCTTCATTCTGCTTTAGAGCAATAGAAAATGCCTTTCCTAAAGTCTACGTCAGTCAGTAAATAAATACTTCTCTTTAGAGTATCCAACACAAACTCTTCCGTAAAGTCCAAGTTCATGTACAGTATCTTTGAAGTGTGTCTCTCTATGTGCCTTTCATTTTGTATTGACTACTTGGTGGGTGAATGCAAGGCATACTCCAGTCACCTTCGACTTCTAAAAGTGACTTAACTCTCTCAACTAAAACTTAACATAGTCTGTTTATTCCTCACATAGTGACTGTATCTTGCGCAACTGGTAATACAAAGGAAACGGTGCTCAACTAACTTGTATCTTTCAAAAGCTTGGTTATGTTTCATAACCATATGTTGTGGCATAACTCACTGTTTCTTAGCTCCCTCAAATGGGTCGTTGTAAGGTGATTAATCATTCCTAATACACTTGGTTGGGTTCTGGTGACTCATTTGTTTACAGTTGCTAATCTGATCTCTGTAGGGAAGTGTTAACTTCATGACTGATTTAGAAAAAAAATTGAGCAAAGAATATCCTTTTCGATAATTATAATAAGCATAACAATTTAATAGCAAATGGAATATCAAATAAAATTGAGGAAATTTCCACAACAAATTAAGGATCATTGAAACTTTGACGGCTAAGGTAAAGACATTGTCTAAATCAGCTTCTTTTGGATACATAAGTTAGGTTTCTTAATGTAGATCCCAACGGCCTCAGCAATATGTAGTAGACGAACTCTTGAGGTAAAATAATTAAGATTAGTCTGTATACGTTAGATGACTTTAATAGCCTTGTTAAGATCAATCTTGCGTTTTGTATCCACGAGATGAAATAAAATAGAGTTATGAATAGATTTTGTTTGCCCCTTACTTAACCACGCAGGATGATATTCGGAAATTCGATGATAAGCACGCCTAATTGTACGGCCTATGTAACTGGCTCCACAGGAGCAGTACCGGCACAGATAAGGTGTACACATTCGTTCCATTTTTTAACGCTTTGTAATTGTATATTGCCTAGATTTCTACTCATATTTGTTTAGTCTGTCGTAATTTTACTTCGTTGTAGCACTTAATTCTCATGCTGTGCAGAATAACTTGAGCTGATTGTCTGTAATATGAGTTTCTTTATTATTCACTTTTTCACCTCGGTATATATATCTCAATATGGCTTTCTTCCTCTGGCAACTTTTGTTACCGTACATACTTGGAAGTATAAGTATCCGTTTCGTAGCTGTTCATATCGCATCACTTAGCTTGGCCATGGTTGCCAGTGTTACATATTATACTCTGTGTCAAAGAAACAGTGTGATGAATGACATCGGTATTTTATTAATTTATTACTCATTGCATATTATAGATCCCTAGGCGTTTACTCAGGTTGTTTGTTTACTCTCTCTCCTGGAATACTACCTTTCACGATATACATCTGCATGCTTATTTTGTAACTTTTAATGATGTTAAAGTCTCTATGGCGATTATGCTTCCTGTTATTGGATCTCGTGAAGTCAATTCATTCTTCTTCCCTTTTTTTTGTAATCCAATACCTCGTTTATTTTCCAGTTATTCTGAATGGTCGTGGAGAGAAGCATTTTTAGAAATAGAAAGACGTAAAAGAGATGGTCTACCTCTTGTGGATAAAGATCTTATACCTGCCTCTCAAGTGAAACTGCCTACAGATGAAGAGCTTGGATCTGATTTCAAGATTATTATATAGGCTAGAGTGATTCTCGGCGGCGGGGGGCGGATTCTTACATTCTTTAATAAATTAGTTAACTACTCCTTCACTTGTTATTTTATCTATCAGTGTACATAATTGAACAATAGAATTGAAATAAGACTTTTTTGTTTTGTTTTCTTTCATGGCGAAACTTATTATCCGGCTATCGATCAAAAGTAGTGTGGACTGTGCAACAGTTTTATTACTGTGTTAAGTGACCATTAAAACTGAGAAATATTTAAAAAAGAATTGCTACCTTTGATCATTCTAAGCAACAAGCCAACCTCGTGAAATGCATATCCATATTGAAATAATAGAGAAGATTTGTAGCTCAGGTGGATAATTTGCAATTAATAGTGTTCTCTGAGCTGGTTGGTTTAGTTGTGGAGCTTTCGTCATCCCCCTGCTGGACAACATCTTCAGCGCAATATTTAGCATAAAGTGAAATGATTTAAATTTCTTCATGAGTGATAGCGTCTCCCGGTAACCATCTTTACATATGTATTGATCATTTTCTATTGACTTGGATTTTAAACTTTCTGTTCATCACATGATTTACTTTTTATTAGTTGGTATATTTGGTCTATATTAACGTGTTTGTTAATTGCATATTCGTTTGAGTACCAGGCTTCTAGGAATTCCCTGATTGCACTTTTAGTGTTTCCTCTGTCTAAGATTTCGAAATTATCCCAATCAAACTGATGTCCATAATTGTCTATATGCATTGATATGAAAGAATATATATCGTGTCTTTTCACGGCAATATCCAGGAACACAAATCAGCCATATACTGAATGCAATTGTGCAAATATTATACTTAATTATAGACTACTATAGTGGTATAATAAATATCTCGGTAGAACCTAATAAGAATGCCTTCTAGCTAAACATGATGTCATTTCATTTCAGAGCATAAAAGCGACCTAAGCTCTACGTAAGATTTCATTCGTGAGATAGAATTAACAATAAGATCAGTAGATTGGTAAAATTTGAATAAAGCAAGAACAACTGTGGTTTGTGCAGAATAATATGGTACCATAATTTATTTCGTAGGCTTCTCATCAGCTGCTTACAGCCCATATAAATTATGAGGTTTGCGTACAGAAAAGTTTTAACATACTTGCAAATTTTTACATGTTGTCAGTTGACAAAAAGTTTCACAGTAAGTGAACAGTGCTCAGAAAATTGCGCTTATATAGTTTTTACACAGGCAGTTCAAGTTTAAACAAAATAGATGTATGCATACAATGGTGAAAGAGTTACGTAATAAAGACGAAATATGAGTTAGATACAGATTGACTAATAAATTAGGTAACAATGTACTGAGTTCAAATCAAATCATAGAAACAAGAGACAAGCAAAATTACAGAATATAAAAGGGGGTGAGGTTAAAGACAAAGATTACGTAATCAGATGAGAGAATAAAGACATTCAGTTACCAGGGCAAAGAAAGATTAATAACTGCTTCTTTCTGAACACATAAATCTGGTTTGAAGCGTTTGATAGAGATTGCTTCGGTAAACTTGACGAGAATGGAACTCCTTTGTCTATTGATAATTTTAAAGGATTTCTCGATTTCTACCTCATGACCCGTGTCGAGAAGATGTCTAGTAATAGCGCTGCTATAAGAGTTTGTTCCCTTGACACGTAGGCTTTTTGGCACATGTTCAGAAAATCGGAGGTGTGCCCTTCTTTCTGTTCTCCCAATGTAACTGCTCCCGCAGATACACGTAAATTTGTATACACAGTTGGAGTTAACATGAGAAGGGTATCTATCGACTTTTGACTGCGCCAAAGAGCATGTTGTTCGATGGACGGGAACCAACTTAGCTGCAGGATAGGTTCTGGCTAGTGATGTTCTCAGTCTTCTGTTGACCATTTCTGCAATGTTTTCACCTTTAAAATTTAGTTGAATGAAGACAGGCTTTTTTTCAACTGTGATTTGTTTGGTATTTGGGCCTTCACATCTTCCATATTTGTTAATGAATCTTTGAGGGTAACCGTTGTTTTTCAACACCTTTTCGAGAATCATAAATTCTCCCTCTAGTTTCTCTGTAGAGCATATTCTTCTTGCTCTATAGTACAGAGTCTTGACTAGTGCTCGTTTATAGCTATTTGGACAAAAACTATTAAAATGTAAGTATTGTCCATTCCATGTAGGCTTTCGGTAAATTGACCTCTGGAGATTACCATCTTCTAGGCGTTGCATGGCGATGTCAGGGAAATGGAACTTCCCATCATTTTCATGTTCCATGGTAAATACAATATTTGTATGTGCTTTCTTGAATAGGCTGAGTAGATAGGAGGCATGACTTTCGTTGTTGCATACTACAAATGTGTCATCGACAATAGGAAGTTGTTTGATCGATTGCATGCTTCAACTTTGTTTTCTCAAGGTTTGACATGAAGATATCTGCTAAAACAGGGCTAAGTGGACTGCCCATGGCTACACCATCTATTTGTCGGTAAAGAGTGTTATCAAACTGGAATTGTACATCCATGGTACACATTAGCAGTAGGCGTTTGAATTCTGACTCTGGTAGTGCATGAAGATTGGTAAAAGTAAAATGTACATTAACACTTAAATGACAAAAACAACACAAATAAAACGAAATTTAATGAAACCAAAATCGGGATTTGTGTGTTATTTTTATAAGGGATCAGAAATATAGTGAATTAAGATATCAGATAACACTGACTACTGAACAAACAATATTCTTTTCGATAACTTCCTCTTCATCAGGTTCTACAGGTAGATATCCATCCATAATAATGAAAGAATTAGGGTTATTAACAACATTAATGTTGTTTAAATAACATCGAATCAATCGATAATATCAACAGATTACAGTTCAATAGCAATCTGTAAGCGTGATAATGTGCATCAACATAACACTGCAGTACACTGAATATCAGAAAAATTAGGAAAAATAATAATAATACGGAATCCATCAATTTATACGCTCGACAGAAGGCCAGGGTAGCAGTAGTAGTGTTTAGACCTGTTTCTTCTGCATACAGAGCACCGGCTGTTTTAGGTGGATCTCCATAGCCTCCACTGTTTAGAGTCTATGGTACCTGGATGCTTTTGGCAATTTATTTGGTACCCGATGGATGATGGTGAAGGATTCTGTAGCCGGTTTGAACTAGGTGGTCTAATATTAGGCTGTTGGTGTTTTTCACTATACCTTTATGTAGCCACACCTGTAGATGTTCCCGAGCACAAAAGATCAAGTTCCTATATAACTCGCTCCACAAGCGCAGGTGAATTGGTAGTTACAATTAGAAGCTTTTACGAGTTGATCACGGATTGATATCAGTTAGAGAACCATTGAAAACCAGGGAGTACTGGACAGCTGTTTCATCCGTTCCAGTTTGGGAATCATCGGCAGTACGCCGTGACCAATGAGGTCCATCCAGATGTCACGTGTGAGGATGGATGTCCCACCTACGACAATGGTTGGGGTCGTGCTGAATCACGGATTGGTAGAATTTAGAATTCATGTGCTGGTCATTGAATCGGGTACCCGTGACTGGATAGTATACGAACTTGCCTTGTAACCGGGAGGTCCTGGATTCGAATCACGTTGGTGGGCGCGTACTGCCGATGATTCCCAAATTGGAACGGATGAAACAGCTGTCCAGTACTCCCTGGTGGCTTTCAATGGTTCTCTAACTGATATCAATCCATGATCAACTCGTTAAAACAAAACTTACCCTTACAAACCAAACTACAGACAATTAGAAGTGGCTAGTTTAGGTACTTCATCTTTCAATCGAGGAATCACCATCGGTCATGAAGAAAACATGACTTGTAGTTTACCAGCATTAAAAGTTCTTTGAATAGATTTTTTAACTTGTTAGTAATTATTTCACTCGGTACGTCACCCTTGAAATACAGCCGTATATATAAAGGTTTGTTATTTACAGATAGAGAATAGCCCTTTTCTACTTTCTTGGCCATATGTTTCCTGATGAACTTTTCTGGATAGCTATTTTCAATTAAGGTGTCACATACAATGTTAAGTTCATTTTCTGAGCATATAGCTCTGATCCTGTAGCTGAGGGTCTGTCCTTATTAAATTTCTTTTGTATTGGAGAGGAAAGTGTGTATATTGTCCTGTCCATGTGCTTTTCCTATGCGAATTTCTCTTTATACTACCATCTGGTTTTCTAGTAAGAAGGACATCTAGGAAGGCAATTCTATTTTAGCACTCCAATTCACATGTGAAATTTATGGCGGAGTGTACTTCACTGTCCGAATCATTTTCACAACAACAAAAATGAAGGTATCATCTATATGCCGGTGATAAAATGAGAATTTTCAAAGAACCATTCTCTATTTTGTTTAGAAAGAAATCTGCCAACACATGGGAGCCATTGCTACCTTGTCCACTTGTCTGTAAAGTGTGCCATCAAATTTGAAATATACCTTCATGGTACACCTTAATAACAGTTCTTTTACAGTTTCTGTTGGGATACCAATATTTTATCGCCTTGTTGCACACTTGTTCATATATGCAGTTAACCGTTTCTGTAGAGATACGTTTGTGAAAAAAAAGATGTTATATCCAAAGATATAATAGTTTTGTCCTTGATATTAATATCTTTGATTTATTCCATGAATTCGAATACATCTTTGACGCCATGTTTCACGATTTGCTCATGCAAAGGTATGAGAATAGTCACAAACTGATATATACACTGGTGACTCATCAATATTGATTTTTCGCACCTGCATGAATGAATTTACTGAATTTCCATTGATTGTTAATATTTTTTAAATGTGACGTTGATTTTCCTAACTGTATAAATACGGAGTTTTGTTGAACATTTCCGACTGTTGTAGAGACAGTAAAAGCTCTCGTATCAACGTCCAGTCTTCTTTCTTTGTCTTGCGTGCCCGTCGGTATTGTTGTTATTGACGTACGATTAGGACAGATTAGCCAGCGCATTAAGTTAGATTCACTCGTAGTCTACAAGGTCATAATATTCATACATAACACAAACCATTTAGCTCTGTGTGCAGAAGAAACAGGTCTGATATAAGGATAAAATTTGAGCAATATGGTAGAGCATAACTCCAATCTTGATAAAATTTATTCTTATAAAGTCACACA